TGTTGAGGGTGGGGTGGCGTGAGGGGCTCTGGGGGGGTTGGATGGAGGATCTAAAAAAAGGGCATGGAATGAAGACTGTAAGAGGGGTGGTGAGAAGGACAGCGCAGGCTTTTGAGTTGGTCCACGGATTGGCGGGCGGGAGATTTTGGTACAGCGCGGCAGCGACGGTGCTGCTTCTGAGTTGGACAGGGCTGCGTCTTGCGCAACGCTGAGGCCGATTTTTCCCGCGTCCCGAGACTTTGCTGATCCCCAGCCCCACTCCCCACTCACCCCGCCATCACCCTTCCCCTTTACAACTGAAGGAGGCGTCGCCGACATTCCGCTTTCATTCGGACTGCACCCTTATCCACATACATTTATAAACCCACTTGCAACTCCTCCGATCGCTGCACAACCACGTCCTACCCCCATCTCCCCGCTGTGCGCTCCTCCGCCGCGTTATGATCTTGAAGCCATGTGAATTCACTCGGTGATCTCACCCGATGTCTTGTGAGAGGGTTAAAGTTTACTCGTGCCGCAGAATACGCATAAACCAAAATGAAGAAATAGCAACTGTAATGCATGGTCTGCAACAATCATAGAATTGCTGCGGGACTGACGAGAAGCAGTTAAGCTTGTTGTTTCCTCCTTTCATCTTTCTTCGCACCCTACCCTTCAACGCCTACCGGGGTACCCCCCCGTCTACAGATTTACGGCGTACGCGAGTACATCAAAACAAACGGAAACGGACCGCAACCGATGGCATCCTCTATACTGCCATCATCAAAGCTTAGAGCTGTGTCCGTAGACTCCGGCAGCATGCTCTCTACAAGCAAGTAGATACACACGTGCACTCTGCAGAGCAACGAAGCCCATGAAAACGCGGACAAACATACAGGGTACCCTTCGAAGGTACCGTTGGGTACCGTACCCTTAGCGTACTGTACCCTGAACGGTACCCCTTGCTTCAATGCAAATTATCCCTGTACTGCTCTGTACTGTACCCTTCAAAATTTTCCCGATCTCCTTGCAACCTCCTTCATGCTTCTGTCCCATTCCCCGCCCTGCATCCTCTGTGAATCGCCCCCACCCGATCAGCACCCGCAACCCATCTCCCCAGTCCGCCCTCGTTCGATCCGCCACGAAATACCCTCACATACAATAATTCTCGTTTCACTGCTACAAAGGAAACAGATTGTCTTCCACGTGTACACGAGTCGTGTGGCCAAAGGAAGACAGCGACCACATCTTTAGACGAGGCGTTGTGCAATCACCACTAAAGTTACTCAAATCGCAAGGCCTGCTTGCTTCCCACCAGGTGTGTCAGGAGTGTCATTCCTACCTCGCATTCGCTACCAGTTTCTGGAATTGAGGGCCAGCAGAGAGCCTCGTTCTGCAAGCCCACGGAAAACTGACATGTGCTATATGTCTCGTACACTTGGCGGGTCAAGCCCAGATTATTGTCCTTATCGGAAAGATACGAGATCCCTTGCTTCGGCCGCTCAATCTGTCCCATCACCACCCACATCACTGTGTGCTTCAATTTTGAACACCGGACTCTGGCGCTTGCCCCAATGACGCGTGCGTGAAAGAAGTTTACCTCAAGATGGAGCCGCTATATAAATGTTTCCGACACATACACACTAGCAACACCATTTAAAGGCGTGAAGCTCGATTTTTTTTGGACTGTTGCTTTATAAAATCGATTCTCTCAACAATATGCCAATACGCTCTCTACATTGCGAAAGGTCCCTGCTCCCTGAAGGAGTCAGGCTAGGGCTCATCACAGCTTTCATGAGTTCTAAAACTTCTTCAGCTTTATTTAGCCATGTCACCACCCACTATTGTGATGGTTGTGCGAGGCAAGGCGTTTTTCGACACCAAAACTATAGCCCCGTTGAGCATTTTTAATGACCGTTAATTTGCGGCACGCGAGCCACCTAGCATTGCCTGTTCAAAGCTATTCTGTGACTTCAACCATTTCCATCACGGCTTGTACCTCAACACTCCGTCATAGTTAGTACGTAGATCTTATTTAGATCCGCCCTCGCAACCGTTAGCTCCCTTACCTCGGGTTTAAAACCGCAAACAACTCCCCAATATGATCCTTCAATAACGCTTTGAATAGCAATAATTGTACCTCGTGGTAGGAATGAAGTCTCTTGAGCAAGTTTCTCTCTCGGATACAAGAACCATGTATATGGAGCGAGAGGCATTTCGATCACACTGGTCTCCCCTTGCAACACAAGTTTGTAAGTATTCTTCACTGCCACGTACTCAATGACAACTGCATCCTGAAAGTTCCCGTCGTATCGCTGCATGAAGAGGACTCGGCCAACGAGCTCTTCGCAATGCACCCTTTCGTCCCAGGACAAAATCCAGTTCGGCGATTCCGGATTTCCTTGGCCTTCGTTCCGCCCCGATTCCGGCGGACCATTAGTCCCACCTTCAATATAAATAGAGGCACGAGGCGAAGGATCTCGGGGTTGATCACATGTTCTCCGTCCCATGACCTAGCTTTCGGGATTTAAAGAAGAAGAAAATTTTGCCACGCACTCGAAGACCAGACTGAACCCTGAATTACGTTCTACTGCTTCAACTGGACAGTTACAAATTCTGAGATATAAATCTTTACAGGTTTGCTTGATTCATCGGCTCTAGAGATATGAAACATTCAGCCCTCCTTTAATATGCAGCAGGAAGGGAATACCATGAAATCCCTGTCGGGTGCTTCAATTGCACATCCCTCCAGTGTCTGTGTCCGGTGCTGTACCCAGGGTCAGCTGCTTGGCCAGTGCCATTGTACAGTATGTGAAATGCATCCAATTCAGAAAATTTGCATTGAAAGCCTACTGTAGTTCGCAATGGATTTGCGGCAAATTAATGCGTGTTTGCGGCAAAAAATCTGGAACTCTGAATCCCCCCACTTGTACCAATGGCTAGCTCAACTGGAGCCCAAAGATTTTCAGCGAGCTTTCAGCAGGCTTGTTGCTTTTGCTCAATCGTATGGTTTTCAGTGCTTGCATATCAGCATTGACAATCTCTTTTCTCATTTCAGTCGCTCATCGTTTGTGGTACACGAAATAAAGTGTATCATTGCGTGAAAAAGAGGCAAGCCTGCTGTCTGCTTTTTACTGTTAACTACAGTGTGAAGGATACCTGCTTTTACGACTGTTAGAATTGATTAGACTGGCTTTTTTAAACAACACATGTTCTCGATCAACATCAATCAGGACCTCTCCAAAAATCTCCTTAGAAGAGAATGTTGAGCCTCTCAACCTCAGACGGCTGAACGGCACCATCGATATCCGCAGCAACCACGTCAGACGGGTTGTTGGACACCACCAGAAGGTTGCTTCCGTCATCGAATGAAACGTCAGTAACCTCGATGAAAGCGAAAGCGACTGTCGGGATGTTGCTCTGACCGGTGGCTGACAGAGTACCGGTGATCCTGATTTTGCTGTCGACGACGCTTTCGAGGATCTCCTCGATGGCGGTGGTTTTCGTTTCGAAGTTCTCGATGCTCTCGGCAGCCTCGGCGATCTGCTCGGTACTGATGCTCTCAGCGAAGTTCAGGCCCAAGAGCTCAAAGATGGGAAGCTTGAGGGAGCCGTCGAAATTGCTGACGAGCTCTTCGAACTGAACGCGCTCCTCGGCGGTGAGGGTCTCGACGAAGGTGGAGCTCATTCTGTTGATGGTCTCAGCATCGACGGCGGTGACGGTGACGTCGAAATCTAAGGTGGCATTGGCGCCTCGGACAACACTGATACCGACCCTAGTGATACGGCCGAAGCCGGTGGAGGTCTCGGTGACGGCGAATTCACTGGTCTCGGACTGGCGGGTGACGGGGACGAGGCTTTTGACCACGTTGACGATGCGGCGGGGGGCAGGGCCGGCGAGGGCGGCGGAGAAGAAGAGGGCGAGGCAAGCGATAAACTTTGCGGAGACCATATTGGGAGATGGGGTTAGTGCAGTTAAGCAGGGGGAAGGCGAAGTGTTTGTTGGTTGAAGTTGTGAGTGATGGTGTGGGGAAGATGCTGGGATGCGGATCGGGTTTGTCGTTTTATATGCTTAGGAGGACATAGATGTTCTTCCTCGCGGAGGCATATCGAAAAGAATGCTCTGTGGGTGCTTATTACAAAGCCGTATGACACTTTCCGTGTTCAGAAGATGATTTTGGTAAGCTTTCTCGACGTCGCAGGAGAGCTGGGAACGTTTCCACCTCGCGCAACAATGGGAAAACAACAGAAGATTTCTACAGACAGTCCTCTGTATACGCGTGACTATGCTTTCCGAGACATTTTGAGGCCCATCGGTGTAGTTTAGAGGTGCGGGGAGGGTTCAGATCGTGAAAAGAGAGGCACCGTATAGACCGGAGAACCATGACATCGAAATGACAAAGAAAGCAGGGAGAGCATCGTAGCGCGAGAAATTCACAAACAACTAGTTCCGTAGGCAGAGACGAGAAGATGAGATGTAACAGAGGCGTACCGCCGAGGGTTGCAATGAACATGACGAAAGGAGAAGGAGAAGAGTTTGACGGCACTATCACTACCTCCGGGGCAAGTCGTAGCTGATACGATTGGCGCATGCCTTGTCAAACGTGATTGTCACGATTGTTTTGTATACATAATGAGAACGCATGGATTCATAGCAAAGAAGTACAAGGCGGCTGTGAAGCGGACGATCGCCGATGCATGCATGCTCCACTACGTTAGCTAGCTACTGTAAATTAGAGACAAAGAAGATGACGTCGCCTCCTGCACAGTACCAACGGTACTGTAGTATGAGATCGACATGACACGATGCCTGGTGACGCACCGCTGTACGAAGCTTGGCATTGCTGGCAGGCACCGTTTTTGATGTGCATAGAGGAATTGCTAGTCTTTCACTTACTCTTGGCGGCGAACCAACAGTTGGAACCTTCTAGGGCGACGCTTTCTCTCATGGAATCCTTGGCCCATTTGGTCAAGTTAGCCGTTAGCGGTCTGTACAACGGTGCCACGAGGGAGATGTCACAACAAATGAAGACAACATCGCTCTTAAGAAGAGTTTCGACACATCCATCCCAAGTCTCGGCATACACGGCACTGGAAATGGGAGGCTCTCAGCGCGAGGCAATGACGGTCTAGGTCATGAGCGACAGTGCTGTGGCAACAAGAAAGTGATTCTGACTGGGAGGAGTGGGTGGGAGTGGCGGCCGGATATCATGAAATATCCTGTCGCCGGGCCGATGCAAAAAATGATCGACGACTGATGCCCGCGTCAAGACGTGAGTATCAGGCTTAAGCATAATTTTGTGCGACCACCAAATTTTTTTCGTTCTATGGGCATACTGTACCGCAGCTTAGACTGTCTTTACCTTTTCTGTAGTGTTCACGGAAGTCTGTCATGGTAACGCGATGCGCGGCAGAGCTCCGCTCTTCGGCGGTAAAGGAGTTTCGTTTTGGTTGGGAAATGGGACCCACGTTTTGACGTCGTTAAAAATGGAACAAGGGCGGTAAGGATGCGGTCGTATTGTAGCACGACTTCATTGATACAGTCTTAATCTGAAGAGGACACTTGAATTATCTAAAACGCGTTGTAATGCAACACTGCATGTAATGCGAGCAAACATAGTTTTAAAAGATGCGACCTGTGGTGGTCCTGCGTGCCCCCCAGAAAGTCATCTGATTGCACGGTTGAAGCACATCTATGCTTGTGACTCCAGTAAAGACAGTAGCACGGAAAAAGGCTTTTACTGTACCTGTACAGTGGTGGCAAAAACAATAGGACATACAGTCATCCCTTGATTGAAGGAACCTTGTGTAAGGAATTCCTTGTTAAAAGACGTCCGAGGGCGTCCACCATGCCCGTGGTATCATTTTTGACCGTACCAGAGCCATTACTTCAATCTCTTGATGTAAGGAAAATTCAGTATAAATCCGATTCCAGAAAGCGTCATACAAATGCCTTTAATGTCACATTTACACTTTCAATAAGGAATCTAAGACAGAACCGGATCTGGGTCCTGACACTATGGCTCAAACATAGTCTCAGTCAAAAATGCTTAATAATCAGGACCGTAGCTCGATCATTTCCCACCCCGACGATCCACTCCAGCGCAATGGAGCGAAACACCCTCACTTATGCACAGAAACACGATATTCATCAAGAAATTACGAAACGTCGCAAGTCTGGTCACAATCTCATCCTCGACGAGGTCTCTAAGTGGGCGAAAACGGAGCTCAGGCTGTCTTTTCTCCCTTCAAAGCCCGTGTTGTCTCGTCTCAGTCGCAATGGGAACTTACAGCCAGGAAACAATGCTCAGATGATGCGGCAGCATTCACCTGCTCAACCCGAGCTCGAAAAACAACTCGCTGCATGGGTCAACGATCTCAACATGCAAGGTCACTGTGTGTCTGGAGATATGATACGCAAAAAGGGAAAGCGGTTGCTGCAGGATATTTGCACGGATCTCGACGAAAATGGTCCACGCTTGAAGTTCACTGCAGGCTGGTTGTGGAACTTCCAGCGTCGATGGAATTTGAAGGCTCGGCAACTTCATGGAGAACCTGGTGATGCAGATGACGAGGCAATTGCACAAGCACTTCCAGATCTCCGCAACTTGTGTCATGAGTACAGGCCAGAGGATGTTTGGAATGCAAACGATACCGGCTGCAATTATTCGATGGCGCCCGATCGCAGTATATCAACGTTTTCAAGGACAGGGCACAAGAAGCAAAAGGAGCGGGTAACATTATTGGTGTGCTGCAACAGTACGGGATCCGAGAAATTTCCTCTTTTCAATATTGGTTCTGCCCGTCGGCCGCGATGCTTTCAAAAGAGAACTGGAGAGCAACTTAGATTCGACTACGGTCATAACAAGAAGGCATGGATGACCATGGCTCTGTTTTTTGAGTGGCTAAAACGCTTTGACACGTACATATCTAAGACCTCTGGCCGTACCGCTCTCCTCCTTCTCGATAATTTTTCTGGTCATGGGACCAAAGCAAAATTACCCGATCTTGCATCCTTTCGAGTAGAGTTCTTGCGGCCAAATACAACTTCAAAACTGCAACCACTGGATGCGGGCATTATTTGCTCTCTAAAAAGGAGATATCGATCTGCGCATTACAACCGAGCTTTGGATTCTCTCGAGGAAGATGCCGGGGATATTTACAATATATCATAACTTACGGCAATGCGATTTCTCGACAGAATCTGGAAAGAACTACCTGGCCCAATCATTGCAAATTGTTGGCGAGCAACTGGACTGATTGGTACTATAGTACGTTATAACGTAAGCAAGCTGCAAGCGGCAGATGCCGACAATGAGATTTCTGAAGAATACACGGAGCTCGAAGCGGTTATCAGCGATTTAGTGCACACGCGAGATAGGATGTCAGTACGCAATTTATTGAACTCTGATGAGACGGACATTTGGCAGGGATTCGAGCATGGAGATATGGTTGATTGTGTAGTTATGGCTGTCACTGAGCAGGGCCGTGGGGTTGGGGGTCGATGTGAATCGGATGAGGAGGATGAGGCAGGGCCAGTCATCACCTGTGAGGCGAAACTGAAATCTATCGCCCTTCTACTGCGCGCGAATGAGTCCAGGACCGAGATCGATTTGGAACTACACCGACGTCTGCGTTCATTGCGCCGGGAGATTCAGCGTGAGCGTGCTGCAGGCTTACGTCAAGCTCGCATCGACAGCTATTTCCGAAAATAATTTTTTGCTCTGTAAAAGGAATCCTTAGGACAAGGAATCCAATCATGTCCACCAGCCGATTCCTTCTATCAAGGGATGACTGTATGACATTATCCGGTCCCATAGTGTAAGCGTTGGGATACAGGTAATGAACATTGCTGTAGTTGGAGCACGCGGCGAGAGGAGTCTGAATTTTTAAACAGATTTGCAAACAAACAAACGGTTTTAGAGATATCATCGGAGACATGCAAATGAGTCGGCAAAAACTATAGGTACAGTTTATTGCGCGCGCCAGCTGAAGGGCAGAAAGGGAAATGACCGCTCTTCTCAGTAGTCTATCTTCTTGCCTTTGGCCAGGACTACTTCTACGCACCGCTTCCGCATAGATTGAGCTAAGCTAACAAGCGTTTCAGTACAAATAGAGTCCCAAGCATCAATAATGCACTCCGTGAGCGATTGGATACTTTCAAATTGTCTCTGATTAGCGTAAACCCTTCTTACGAAAATACCCCACAAGTTCTCTATGGGGTTATGGTCTG